TTTCGGGACCCCACTTTGGGTCCCGACCCCAACTTTGGGAAACACTGCTGTAGATAATTGATGATGGATAGATGGAATATCCCACAGAAAAATGCAAATCTGTTTTCAGTTCCTTTAAAAACATAATTTGAAACCTGCTTCAACATGACATGATCTATTTTTGTCTTCTAATACAACTATTTAGCATTCTTCTACTCTTAGCTTTTAGTTAATGTTTTGCATCATCTAGCTTTTGGTTACTGTTTCAAGGATTCAAGGATATTTATTTGTTATTCYGTAAAACTCAAACATCAGATGTTCATGAAAGGTAAGAAAACTGGTTGCACATGTCCTGAWGTTCAGTGTGAGCGATAAAGCGATACTGTTCTGCTTCTTTTCATTTTAAGCTTTTTTGCTCCTTTGATTTTTTTTTTATCTAATGTTTTCTCCACAGATTTTTTCATTTAGCTTCTGGTTTGTTACTTTGAACTTTTGACTGTTCTAATCTTTTTAGTTTTATCATTCTGCTCCATTTAGCTTAGCTCCTTTTAGGGTTTTGGCTACGTTTTGCTCTATTTAGCTCTTAGCCATAGCAAAATCTGATCATTTTAGCTTTTAGCATTTTGTTACTTTTACCTTTGAGCTTCGTTTTTGTTAATGTTAGTTTCTGATTTACATGTTTTAACTACTTTAACTTAGTTTTAATATCTTTTTTTAGCTAACTTTAACTCAGGCATTTAGCCTTAAGTCTTTATTGTGAAAATGCTTAACTTGAAATCTAAACCTCTTTACTCAGCCTCTTGATTGTAAAAACACTTCCCTTTCTTCTTTGATGGATTTRCATTTTAACAGAAACAGTTTGTAACTCTTTCTGGCAGGATACCAGGTTTTTTCTGGGAAAGTCTTCAGTCTATCAGTAACAGTTTGACCTTTGTCCCTGTGTTTTTGACACTCTCACAGATGATTAGATAAAACAAAAACAACAGCTTGTGACTGTTTGTGATCAGATACCTGACTTATTATTGCAGTGTTAATTACTAAAACCTCCCTGTTGCAGCACGTCAGGATGGTGTGAGGCCCCGCTGATRTCGCCTCGCGGGGTAAAGTCTGGTAGATTTTTCCCGCAGCTCTGCTGGAGTCACTCACATCCTGAAGGCTTTTACTGCGTGGCTGTAAAAATAAACTGATTAAAAGATAAAATTCTTCTCTGAATAATTTACATACAGTTGTCAATCACAACTCTCATTAAAGCTGTTTGCTTTTGTTCACAAACASCCCTTCATCTTTTTCATTTAATACCCCAGTGTTAAAACTGATCTGTTTTCTACAACCAAATACCGTTATGATGTTACCACCAAATACTGAGAGAGAGAGGACATGAACATGAAAATGTTTTAATGATGCGGTGTGTTTGCATTTTCTTTCAATCAACATTTTTATTGAACCAGCTTTATTATTTCCATTCATCCTGCACGATGAGGCACAATGAGCAGTGAATCAAGACTCAATTAACTTAATGTACAGTTTTTACAACTGCTTTGACAGTAGAATGAGAGGAACAAGTGAAGTAATCATGTAAAACCATATTTAATCTTGCAACAAGCTTAGCAAATTTTATTACAGGAGAAAAAACAGGTCTTACTCTGGTGACGTAAATCAAAAAGTTACAGTGAACTCTTTTCAACCTCTCCAAAGTCCAGCTTATATATTTGGTCTTTTCTGGAAGCCCCCCTCTGACACAGAGACAGATGGTTGTGAATAATCGTCAGGTGTAAAATGACACCCTCTAATGTGACCTGCACAGATCACCTGTACATCACACTCATGCAAACACACTCACTCCTGCTGCAAACTCCACTTTAACCTATAACATGTCCAAAACTGCTAACATGCACAAAGAAATGTTCTGGTAGTTGTGGAAGCCATCTTGATTTGTGTTGACTCCAAAAATGTAATCAGTTAAAGATGTACAACCAATGATYAATTATTTACGATAATACTGAGTTTTATTTTGACAGGAAAAGTTCAATGCATAAAAAGTCCACATTTCTGCTCAGACAAATGTCAAATAAACAGTTTATTTCTGTTTATTTTTCTAGTTTGTGAGCCAAACTGTAATCGGTACAATTTGGCTACTTTTTCCACATAAATGCATGAAACAAAAACAACTTCAGCTGTTTTCCACAGAAACAGTTATTAAAAAACTTATAAATATGAACTTATAGAACTAACATCCTTAAAGAAAACTGCAAAAGATTTGTTACAACCTAGCAAAAGGCTAGAAGCTAAAAGTAGCAAAAGAAGACACCAACAGAGCAGCTGCAGAAAAAGATTTCAAGGAAAACAAAGTTTTTGAAGGAATTGAAGAGATTTAATTCTGTTTTTATGTAAATTAAGTTAAATGTTTTATAAAATATAAAAGTTAGAAAAACTAAAAGTCATAACGTTCATGTCCTTGAGTTGAGCGTTTTATACATAATGAAGGGTAAAATAATATCAAGWGCTTAGATTACATGAACATGTAGAAAAAATTAAGAAATAATTTATGTTACTTAATATATACAATTTTTATTTCACCATAACATAATTTACACTAAATGTTTYACAGCCTCCTTTAAAGTGTCTCACTTCTGCCTCCTGCTGGTTGTTTTATGAACTTCTGAGGCTAAATAAGCACAACACACACAAGTTTTTAAAACTTTTTATTTATACCCTCTTCTCATGTGCTGTTGACAAAGACACACCTTGTTTACATGATGCTGAGCATCATCATCATCATCATCATCATCATCATCATCATCAGACACTGTTGGATTTCATTTGTGTTGTTAAAGTCATCAGAAACTGGGAGAAATGTTGCTGCTGTCAGTACAGCATCAATTCAGTGCATTTATTGCATCAAGAAGCAAAGATAGAAACAACAAAAGTGTTTACTCAGAGGGTACAGTTTGATAGTCTCAGCTTGTGTCTTATCAATATACTTTGTATTGCATCCAGAATTTAGGCAAGTGAAACACAATAACTAATAGTAATGATAAAAAAATTGTGCTTTATACGTAAAACGATTAATTTGGTTTTTGTAGGAATGTCCTGTAATAAAAACCAAACAACAGAGCAGCTGATATATTCAGGACTGAAGGTTTTTATCCAGAAACAGATCTTTGCTCTTTGTGCTTCATCAGGACCTCAGACCTGATCCTTCAGAGGGGACTGAGTGGAAGAGACTGGATGAGCAGTGCATCATTTCAAAAAGAAACAAAAATAATATACATGCTTTCTGAGCTGTTGCTTTTAGGATCGTSTCAGACTTCGCAGCCTTTCTGTGCAACTCTTCCTTAAATAATATTCATGTACAGTATTTACAGCTGGGAGCGGTGGTTTTGCATATGTAGGTCACGTTGATGAGTGATTACTCAGATGAGGATGATCCTAAAAAGCCCTTCTGATGCAAGAGGGGTTATCTGTCATGCATATATGGTTAGATTATTTACATGAGTAGCTTGAAATCTTTTGAAGGACGTGTCAGTGCCTACTGATGCATTCATTGTTGTGAGCACGGTTCAACATGCAAGGCAAATTAAACCACATGTGTCCAGCCTTTATAAGCTTTTACAGCCATACTTCTTTGAAACAATAATTAAATAAAAAAGTATAATTCTTTCTTTAAACTCATAACATTCAGTACTGTAAGGTTTTATTAAGCACATTAAAATGCCGTGGGGACACATTTGTTTTAAATAATCTCATGTTTTACTCACAACTGCCCAACTTATTCACCAAGACTCAAATAAGTAAAATATATAATTTTATTCACTATAAAACCAGATTAGTTTCTGATTTTCTATGATATAAATCTATTACTGGTGACCACTGACTTTTGAATGGAAAATAATCTTAATGTTCAGGTATTTCTGTGGGTGTTTTATTTTTGAATCTATTCAGGAGGAATGAAATGACTCTTCTGAGGATCAAGTCATCCTTTGTTGTTTTTGTTTTAAAGCTCATTTATGGACAAAAAGAAATGTCTCCATCAAGATCATAACCCAGAAGTAAAAATTTACTAAAAGTGAAAGTAAAAGTTTAAATTCTTGGAATAAAAAAATGCATTATTGTAAGGCAAAACAAACCTGATAGCKCAGACAGTTGTCAGTCAAACATCTTTTGATAGATTCTGTCTTTTATATACATTCTATATTTATTTTTAAAGCAAACTGATCATTTCAGATGCACCTGCTGATTGGATCAAACTCTTGTAGCTCAATAAAAATGAGCAACTTTTTTTTCTTAAACACCAATCATTTTTGTTCTTGCGCAAATAAATATCTACAAACATGTGGAACAGAGTTTGATTGATCTCTGCTTTAGTGTCACATCTTAAAACTCCTAAATGTAATAATTAAACTCCATCTGCCAGATGGACATTTTGAATTATTTTCTCTAAAACCACCACGTGAACGTGCATTTTATCAGTTTGTGTTTTAGAACTAAAGTGTAAAAATATAATGAGGTCATGTAGAAATATCACAAACTTGATTTTACAACAGTGCTTCATTATGTTAGAACTAAAAGTTATCTGTTTTTGGTTTTACGAGTTTTTAAAACACCCTTAACATTTGATGACTGAATCTGGAGGAAGCAGGTTTGATTAGGATCTGTTTCTGTGCAAATCAAACTTTGTCACAAAATTTTATTTCGAATTGTTACCAAGCAAAGAATCTAGCAAAAAATGTCTATGTGTTTTAGGCAGTAATTGATCAGCTGCTTTTTGAGGAAACAGTGAATCATAAATTAGCTTTAATTTAAAATAAAATGGGAATACAGTGCTTGATTTGTGTTGGACCCCTTCCTGAGCTCAGAATGTTTCATTTCCACTCCCAGCAGTGACTCAGGTGGATACAGACTGTTTGTGCTTCTCAYGAAATGGTTTTGAACGGCAGCCRTTGACAGAAATAAGCAATCAGTTAWACTGAGAAYATAAATAAGATGAATGATAGGTTTGTTCTGTTTGAGCAAAACGGTGAAAGGAAAAACCAATTCAAGATGTTTCAAACTGAAGCGGTGGATGTAAGTGGGAAAGAAACATGAAATAGTCATTTCATTGTGCTGCTTTTTTTTTCTTGTTTCACCAGAATGACTCTGACAGAAGTGATTGTACTTTTCATTTGGTTAAACATTTGGAACGGCAGTTCACTTACAGCTGCAGACATGGAAGACGTACAGAACTGATTTTCTGACCCTCTCTACGCCTCCTAGAAACCTCTGACAGCTTTGCCTCGCCTCGTCAGCCTCCCAGGTATGGACAGGTGTGTGTRCAGGGTTTGTTTGCAGTGAGGTGTGAATCAGCCTGTGTGTGTGTGTGTTTTGGACCTGCTGTGGTCTGAACACACTCAGGCTGGCTCATCACCGAGGGGAAGCAGGGGTCTGGGGGGTGTTTAAGGTTCAGGGTGGGGGGAGGGGTGGAGAGGAGGTGGTAAACAGTGTCTGCCTGGCTGGTTGCTGGAACCAGAGCGTGTGCAGCTGCAGAAAGCGGCCCTGAGTTATCACTTGGTGTTTAGAGCGGGCAGTTCTGTGCCCACCGGGGGGGCAGCAGGGAGCCAAAAGGCTCTTCTGTTTGCTGCAGCTTCATCTTCCTCCTCTTTGTGTATTTGCATCTTCTCCTTGCTCTCTCTCTCTTCCTCCTTAAGGATCCTGCTCCTGCTCTTTTCCTTTGCTTCATCTCTGGAGAWGGTGGTGGTGGGGGTCTGTTTTTGGAGAGATGAAGACTGCTGCTGCCCCCTGGTGGCTCCTTTTATCTCTGTGCTATAAACCTGGGCTGGTCTGCCTCCAGCTAACAGCACAGGCTGATCCTGCATGGAGGCAGGAGGGGCATCCTCAGAATAAAAAATACTGTATTAATACAAGAAAAAAAAATATAGAAAATATCACTTACCGACATCTGTGGCTGCGATCACTCTATSAGCTCTTGAGTCTCTGAAAACTGATATGGACCCAGAAGAGAAAGAGTTTTTTTTAAGAAAGGAGAGTTTAATTGTTAATAAAAAAAAAACACTAACCCTGTGTCTGTTTGTACCTGCTGGCTGGAGTTAGCTGAAGGTGGTGTGACCACGCTTTGGTCCTGTAGGGGGTTAATTGGGGCAGAACAAGGGAGATGTGTGGCTCGCCAGTATATTTCCAGGTATTCTGCAAGGTGGTCGCAAGCTTCTTCCAGTTGATTCTCGTCCAGGATCACATCAAACATTTCCTGATGAGCCAACACAGAGAGAAAACAACGTCTGTTAAAACACCTCTCTAATTCCGCTGCTTGTGACACACTGTTTCAGATGGAGCGTACRGGACGTACAGGAGGACACTGAGCCAGCTTGTCCCCGGCCATCATCTGGACATTAAGGTGTTTGCTCTGCGACTTTCCTCTGGATTTAATCAGCCTCTGAAGAACCTGGAACATGGAACAGATACCAAATTTTAGTATTGCTGCATTATGAGCTAACACTATTTTGTTTTATATTCAGATGAAAAAGTAGTCCTCCTTGAAGACATGCAGGTCACCTGAAGTTTTACATGCCTGAGTTGTCATGTAATAATTTAGAGTATGTGTTAATCAATTCTAAACGCCACACACACAAACATTAAGTTTGCCAGCTTTTCCTGGCAGCAGACAATATAAATCTAAAGTAAACAATAATAATCAAACTCTAAAGCAGAGGAGCCCAAAGTGGGGCCCGTGGGCCAAATTTGGCCCGCCAAGCCATTTGATTTGGCCCACCAACAGTTGCCAAAGTTACAAGGTCATACTACGTAGAAACACAGTGTWTCCTTTGGTCAAATGACTACATAAAAGGGCTGTAGTGAATAGTTTTCATTCATGGTGCTGATTTATTAGGATTAAACATGAAACATGAAATGACAAGAAATATTTAGATCATATTTAACCCCACGTGTAGATTTGCACACTTTATAAGGCCACAAAAACTCATTTTATCAATTTATGATATGTCTCTTAAGCCTTTGCTACTTGAGCGTATGGCAGACTTTCTCCAAGTGCACAGACTAAAACAAAAGAGGGCCATTGGACAGCTTAATCGTTAAAAATAAAGGACTTTACTTAAAAAAGTATTTGTATTTCATGTATTATATTACTGCATTTGGCCTGCAGCCATGGATAGATTTTCATTTTGGCTCCCTCGGAGAAAATGTTTGGGCACCCCTGCTCTAAAGTGCCTATGACATGGATTTTTTGGTAATAAATATGAATAATTTTTTTGGACAATAACATTAAAAACATATTGAAAAAAATCACGTCACTGAGGTCAACAGTTGTTGAGATATTTGCATGTGAAGTAACAGGAAAGGGAATGTCTGCATGGGAACAGAACTGGCTAACAACACATGAATCTGATGTTTCTTTAGATTGTTTTGAGTTTTTATCAGAAAGATGAAGAAGAGTCAGAGTTCAAATGTTTTTTCAATACATTAAGATCAGAGACTTCCTTTTTTTTTGGAGTTCCCCTTTGATGTCACTTCCTGTTCCRTTATGTGTCCAAATGGGTAAAATCTAGGGGTGCAACAATACATGCACGCATATCRAACCGTTCAATAAAGTGCTTTAGGTTCAATACACACTTGTATCAAACAATACAGATATTTTAACTTTATTTTATCAACTTGTCTTCTGAAGATGCTCTGTGTTAAAGGATCAGTGGATCTGTGTTCGACTACTCCACCTAGGCTGCATTGTCGAGCGCAGATCCTCTGAGAAACTTGCTGTTTCAGCAACATTTAATTTAAAAACTGTACTTTTGAGGTTAAACAAATGTTCATACTTAATTAAAATAAGTTACAAGATAAAAAGGGCATGGACATTTTTCTTTTTTGTATCGGAAAAAATATAGAACCGTGAGACTAAAGTATTGAACCGAACCGAATCGTGAATTTCCTGTATCGTTGCACCCCTAGTAAAATCATGTATATTATGCCAAGTTTCTTAATAAGGATGTTTTCTTTGACTGTTTTGTATTTGAAAGATGTGCATGTCACAGGCAATTTAAATGTCCAAGTTGTCTCAACAAATGAATTAAAATATATAAAATTAAACTGATGTCAAACTGGATCTTTAGATTATAAGCAAGTTAAATTACTCATAATCAAACCAGCTGATTAGTAGTTTCTTGTCTATAAACAAATCAAATGTTCATGTGCCTCAGTTTTGATTGTGTTTTTTCCTGAAGTTGCGGTGTTTTCATACTTTGGGGGAGGAGACTTTGACGTAGACAATGATGGGAGCCAGGGATGTTTTGAGCAGCTGTGCTGGGTGGTTGATGGTATCTGCATCCAGGACGACCAGCTGAAGGGACTTGGCCAACTCAAAGATCCTCTCAATCTCACTCTGGACCTCCGCTGAGAGAAGACCAAACAAAAACTTTAGTTTGGACCTCAAGACAGAGGAGGTACCTCATCTGAACACCACTTCAGTTAATGTGTTCTGCTCACCCAGACTGGAGCGAGTGTTGGATCTCTCCATTATGGCCTTTTTGTTCAGCACGGAGCGCTTGGCCAAGGATAGATCAGCAGTCACCCGTGTAATAGTGATCCTAAAGAAGAAGAGTCTCATCACATCAAAGCCACAGTTGTTTTCCATTTCAAAGGATGAGATGAACTCTCTCACGGCTAAAAATATCGTCTCATCAGGTTGCATGCTCCCATGAAATGTGATCGGCAGAAYGTTACAATCAGCTCAGACGCACGAGCTGCACACACTCACCTGCCGTCAAATCTGTGCTTCAGGAAGTCAAACAAAGCTTTCTGCATCATGTCTGTCACCTAAGAGGCAGAAACATGGGGCACAGTTAGGGAATACTTCTGATCAATCAGTAACAATTTGATCGAAAACAGAAACTCACAACAGCATCCAAAGTAGACACAGCTGTAAACACAGTGTTATAAAACATATTTAGTTCATGTAGCTTGTAGGCTGCATCTATTTCTGTTTGATTCATAAGTTTGTATGGAGAAAAATTAAAGAAAAGATTTGAAAACCTGATTGTGTGACTTCCTTTGAAGTTAATCCAATTTAAAATGGTCACTACAGCTAATCAAACTAATCAACCATAGCTAACATTAAAAACAACTATAATAAAGCCATTTTTTACAGATAAAGAGCTAAAATGGGTGTGGTAAAGGCTGAGAGTCATCCTCAACACATACAGCATTCATCACATTTCGTTCAGACCAACATGTTGACTCATTTCAAAACATAAAGATGATCTCAGTTTAAAACTCTGGAATGAAAGGGGCGATGTGCATTCCTTTGAGAAATGCTAAATAAATAATATGTTTAAGTTTCACTTCAGGGAAATCAGTCCAACATTTCACTGATCACATCAACTCTGTGGATAAATATATAAAGTTCACACGAGAAGATGTAAAAAAATGGCAGGTTGCCGTTCCTGGACTGTGATGTCTCRGTTTCTGATGGAGGATGGTTAGAAACTGACGTGTGTCGCAAACCCACCCATACAAACCAGCATTTGCGTTTTGATTCCCACCACCCACTGGAACACAAGTTAGGAGTGATCAGGACTCTGTACCACAGAGCAGACAGTGTCCCTACAAACCC